GCCTGGCTTCCTGCTCTCTGAGCAGTCTCACCCAATCACACATTCCACCTGGGATTGCCATTGTGTCCACCCATATGTATGTGCAGGCTTTGAACCCCCAGGTCTTAATAAGACAGTGAGTCCAGGAAGGGAGAGAATCCAACAAATCATTGAGCAAACAGTCCAATCACCTGGAACAGGTGCCCAGCTGGAGCTCAAAGCTGCTGAAAGTGAAGGGAGAGGGGGGCGGGGTGGGGCTTCCAGTCTGCGGGCTCCCCCTCTGTCACTGGCCGAGGCTGTTTCCAGGCCATCAACTCCTGCACACGTCTGACTCTCTGTGTTCTTGGGCCCAGTGTACCTGCCCAGTCAGAAAAAATCCTCAGGAAGTCTGCAGCCTGTGGCCTGTCTAGGTGGCCAGTAAGGGGACACAGGCCAGTAAGGGGACACTGACAGGGTCTGCTACACCCTCTTAATCTTCACAACTGTGAGTCCATGCCCCCATCAGTGTGCAAAGGTGATCAGGGATTTTCTTGTTTAGTATTATGATGAATTCTTGGACTTTATAGATTTGATGTGCTTCCGTCTCTTATGGGATTTATTCATTTTAATGCTGACATGTCATCCTGGCCAGTGAGAGTCTCCACAATGGGGCTACTGGGTCCCTTTGACATGACCTGACCTGAGTCCCCAAACTTCCTTTATTTGCAAGTGTGACAAGCTGTCCTGCCCCTGACTGGGACATCCTGAAGAGGCCTGGTTCCTGGAAGTGGAAAGTAGTATTTAGAGACGGTCGTCTGGACCCCAGGAGCACTCAGCATTAACGGGGGGAGGGGGGTGTCACTGCTTCTAAGCCTTTTTCACAGACATATAAATCGTGAGCTCATGCTGTTGTCTTCAGTTCACGTGAAAGATTAGCAGTTTAGCTTAACTCTCCTTTCCTCACACTGAAACTCAAGAGTTCCAAACACCATTACTATAATTATTTGTTTGCATTATCCCAATAAATAGTGTGTTTTGAAATGCCAAGTCAACATTATGATTTCTCTGCAGTTCTTTTCGTTCTTAGGGATGAATAGTCAAAATGCTCAGTTTCATAATCACTTGAAAGAAAATTCTTCCATGTGGCTTTGCTTCCAGCTCCAAGTACAATCACGGGCCCTTGTCTCACTTTGTTTCAGATTTTTAGGAATTGCATCCCTGTTCTGCTTCTTAATTTAGCCTAAAATTAACTTCATTATTCTGAATTTAATTCTGTTTCAATTATATAATATATTTATGTAGTTCCAATGTCAAAGCCAGAAAACAAGCTGCTGCCATTTTACAGGTGAAGAAACTAAGGCCCGCAGCATGAGTGCCTGCTCTTCAGAAAACCTGAGAGGTCTCTCGCCCTGGGCTGTAGGGAAGGGGGCTGCGAGGAGCCTGCAGATGGGACGGCTTTCTCCAGAAGAAGATCTGGATGTTCTCAGGGCCGAGCCCTCCAGTTCCTTCAGCTGTTCTTTGGGGAACAGTCTGGGATGCCCTCTGAGCATAGGACTTTGCTCCCTGGCTGCAAAGGTCTGTCCACTCAGGGGCTCCCCTAGATGTGGTGCCGTTCAGCCTGCCTCCTCGCCACCCCACCTCCCCTGCCCACCCTGAGGCCTTCAGCTGCAGGAGCCCTCCCTCCTCTGGGCCAGGGTCCCGCGCTTCCTGGCCCCTTTCAGAAGTTCTCAAAGCCACCATTCTGCCAGCACAGCTGTGGCAGCGCTTGGAGCTGTGCGCATGCAGCCCCACTCCCATGTCCCCCTGCAGAGGACCCAGGTGCCCACATGACATGCAGGGCCTTGAGAGGATCTGAGCTGCTGGGCCCCACCCCCACGTCTGGGGAAGTGGGAACAGGTGCTCAAGGGACCAGAAGGATGGGCTCTCCCAGTGGCCACTGTGGCTGGGAGTCCAGTGACCAGTGGCTAACACTGGAGGCAGGGGCGCCAGGGACGCCAGGACCTTGGGGAGGGTCTGTTTCCTCAACTTGGGTCATGGCCTCAGCATTGGCCTTGGTGGGGGGGTCGTGGGGGTGAGGGAGAGGCAGGAGACTGATTATTCTCCACAGAGACTGGAAAGCTCCCCAGGACCCAGGAGGCTGGGAGGCCAGCCAGCTGGGCTGCAACCCCCTCCCCCCCCCCCACCTCCACCATTTCTGTCCCCTGAGAGACAGCTGGGACCCTGGCAAGAACCCTGGCCTGGGCGTCCGTCAGGAGACTTGCTTTTGGTCATGGTCAGCCTGTGGCATGCTGTGTGACCCCAGATAACTCTCCACCTCTGGGTCTGTTTCCTTGTCCAGAAGATACTTCAGTTTCCCTGAGACATTCTCCTTCTGTTACTAGGGCAGGAAGTTCTACGTGAAATCAGACTTGAATTCTTCCTGCTTCCATTGGTCCTGTTTGCTTTCAGCCAGTCTCCGAGGGTCCCTTTCTGAGACCTCAGGGAGGTCTTGGTTCTTCTTGCCTCTTCTTAGGAAGGGATAGAAATGGGTGATGGTGGCTGTCACATGGCCAGGGGACAAGATGCAGGTAAAAATAGTACAGAAGGTCCCTGCCCAGCAAGTGCCAGCTAGACTGCAGTATGAGTCTTCAGAGCTGTAAGTGTTGGAAGAGTCTCGGGGGCGAGGGGGCACTCATTGCCTCCCCTGGAAAGTCCTCAGGGTGGGACTCCTCTCTCAGATAACGAATGCTCCGTCTCACCCACAGGGGACTGGTTCACTGGTCTCCTGGCCAGGAGATCTGTGCACACTGGGCATGTGTGTATGTGCGTGCATGACTAGCAAAGAGAAAGAACTAGATTTTGCTGAGCTCACCCATGGGCCAGGTGCAATACACATTACCCAGTGCCATTGATACTCTTCAGCCCGTTGTTCAGAAGAGGAAAGAGTTTCAGAGAAAGGAAGCCCTGCACAAGGTTTGGCTGCTGCAGATGGCAAACCAGGGCTTTGACCTCAGGGCCGGAGCCTCTGGAGTCCTGGCTCTCACCAGCCTTCACAGCAGCAGCTCCCTGTTCCTGCACCACGTCTGGTTTCCCACCAGGGGACTGCCTCTTGGAACAAACTGTCTGGTACCAGCTCCAGTCCAGACCCAGCTGCTTTTGGCCTCGATCAAGGTCAGACTCCTTCAGGATACCATGTGTGCCCACACTTCTAGTCATGAGGGGAGGTGACAAGGAAGGTCACTTTCTCTTCTTTCCCCATCACAGCCAGGTTTCCCCACAGCAAGAACTGTGGTTACCTGGGAGCCACCAGTGAGATTCAATTTCAGCCACATGGTTGCCTGGCTCTGCCTGGCTGGGCTTAAGACCCGGGTGGAGCTGATCCCAGCCCTGGTGGGGGCAGGCTGGCTGCATGGACCCATGCTGAGACTGTTGGGGGGGGGGTGTCTCTTTCAGTTGGGTTGCAAGGTCTGAGGGGAGCAAAGGGAGGTCCTAGGGCTGCCAGGTGCTGCTTAGATCTGCCCCAAGGCCTGATCCCTCTGGCCTCCATCAGAGGACTTGGTGCTGAAATAGTGCCTGGTCCATAGTGGGCATTCAGTTAGTATTAATTTAATGAAATGAATAAACAGAGGTCTCTCCTTCCCCAGACTCTGCCAGGCACCTTGTTCTGTCCTCTTTAGGCTCACCTCCCTGCCTGGGTCATTTCTTTTACTAAAAGACCCTACCACCCACCACCCCCAGGACTTCCTGTCCTGTCTCTACAGTACATGGGTGTCCAAGGATTGGCCAGAGGTCTACCCTAGGTCCTTGAGGATTTAGGGAGGAGTTTATTGTGAGCTTCTGAAAAGCGCTTTGGAAGCCAGTCCACAGCATTTGAAGTAGAATCCAGACAGTGGTAAGACTGGGACAGTTAGGGCATCAGCAGAGGGCAGTCCAGAGTCCCATACAGGACGGAGGGACTTGGGTGCCGTCTAAATGGAAGGACAGGGACCGGTCCTGAGGTTGATTTGCACTGCAGGCACCCCGCATGACTTGGGATATTTTCAGGGTGCTTCTAGAGATTATGGGGATCAAATTCCCCAACAAGCTATCCTTGGTGCCACCACAGGTATCCAGGGAGAGAATTCAAGCATCTAGCTGTCCTGCCCACAGTCAGTGCCAGGGGCTCTGCTTCAAGTCCCAGGAGGGACAGGGGGAGTGAGAAGAGGGAGGGGCAGAGAGAGCCTGGGAAAGCAGAGGGAAGGGGAGGCCGTGGAGCTGAAGAGGGGGGTGTCATTGGTATTCTGAGGAGTCCCCCAGTGCTAGGCAGCACTCAAGGCCCACCCCCTGGCACCAGTCTGCACATTCATCAGCAACAGCCCTGGCCAGTGGGCCCTCTGGGCTCCCAGCAACGCCTGTGTTTTGCACATTGGTTTTTGTGACCAGTGTGTCCATTCACAGTGCCGCTCCTCCCCCACACGGCATCCAGAGAGTCCCTGACTTGCTTTTCTTAACCCCTGAATCCGCTGTCTAACCTCCATCTGTCCAGCTGCAAAGTCAGCTCCTCCTCTGTGCAGGGAGCAGGAGCACGACCAGAGACAAAACCCAATCAGGGCTTCCAACAGGGACGTGGTTGTGGTCCTTTGCTCCTCATCCTGCCTCCAAAAAAGAGCTTCCCTCCCCCACTCTCATGCTTCTGGCATCCTGTCCCTATTGTCCAATTCCCCGGCCCTCCTCCTCACCCCTGGCCCCACGGGAAGTCCCTCTGGCTGTCTAACTTCCATCCGTCCAGTTGCAGCAGCATCCTCCAGCTCCGCGAGCGCTCGCTCCCGCCCTTCCAGCCCTCCCCCCTACTCCAAGTCCCCGGCTTCTCTCCAGAACCATGTCCTACTTCGCACGTCCTTGCTCTCTCTGCTGCCTCTAGGAACCGACGCAGAGGAGGCAGCGGTAGCGTGACCTTCCCGAGCCCCCTGCGTCCCTGGACAGGGGGCGGGGGCGGCCCCGGGGAGGGGCGGGGCAGGGACGGGCGGGGGAGTGGAGAAAGGGGGTTTTGTGCGACGCCCGGCGGCCCGGCGCCCTCTTCCGAACATCCTGCGGGCCCGGCCCTCCCTGCGCCCGCGCAGTCCTCCCCGCAGTCGGCCGCAGCCGCAGGACGGAGCGTGGACCCAGAGGAGAGCCCGGAGGAGAGCCCGGAGGAGAGCCTGGAGGAGGCTGCAAACTTGGCCGTGCAGCACCCTCGCAGCCCCGGCCGCCTGCAGGTAGGTGAGCACGAGCGCAGCCGGACCACCGGGACCCGAGAGGCAGGGAGCCGGGGACGCCGCCGGCCGCCCGTGGTCCGCGCCCCCCCGCCCTGGCCCCGCAGCTCTGGCCTCCCGGGGCTCGGGCGCAGGCCACCTGCTGACCCTGACAGCCCCCAGGCGCCCCTCCGCTGCGTGCGGCCCCTCCCGCGCCCCCGAGTCCACGGATGATAGGAACGCCCCCGTCCCTGCGGCCTCCTTGCTGCGCCCTCAGGCGCCAGCCCCGGCTCAGGCTTCCGACCTTGTGCGGGGCAGGCGGGCGGCGGGAGGTGCAGGAAGCAGCCCCTCATTGGAGGCCCCTCCGCGGAGCCCCCGGACAGCCGACAGCGGAGCGGGTGGTCGGGGAGCGGACTGGTGCTGGAGTCCCAACTCTGCCACTTACTTGCTGTGTGACCTTGGGCAAGTTAGTTGACCTCCCTGAACCTCGGGTTCCTCTTCAGAGTGATGCATAGACCATATTTTTCTCAAAGTTAAGGTTATCCATGCGAAGCCTGGATAAGAGGCCTGACTCAGGTGGATGGTCAGTCACCAGTAGCCAGAACTCCAGTTACTCTCCTGCTTTCCTCTCTAGCACTGCCAGGGGGCTGGAGACCCCCACCCCCAGGTCCTTTCCCCTCACCCTCCTATGGGAATAGCTCTGCCCACATGCTTCCAACAGGACCAAGAGATTTGCCATCAGTTTTGTTAGCACCGTTAATATCTGCATGACTTCTATTCCGGATAAGAGCAGTAAGATAAAGGGACAATGTTACCCATGGACCACCCACCCCCACTCACCCTGGCCCCACAGCATTACCAGCACCTGTGTTTTAATGGCTAACTTGGCATCATCCACCTTTCAGATTCTGAACTAGGAGGAGCTGCAGTAGCTCAGCTGTGATGTCGCTAATAGTATTACTAGTTGTGCGTCCAATAAATAGGACTATTTATGCAATGTCTTTAGCTGGTCCCACAAGCTCTGCTAACGCCTGGCTGCTGTGGTGTAAGGTCAGGTTGTTGCTTGCACAGCCACTAAGGGGACCATAAGAGCTTCCCTCCTGCTGACCCTGCTAGCTACAGGAGCCTGGTTCCTACAGGGCAGACCCTGCACAGCCAGCAGGGAAGGGGGGGCATTTAGCATGAAGATGGCAGGTATTGGATGTGTGTACGCATATGCATGGACACACACACACACACACACCACACACACACACACACACACCTGGTCCTCATCTTAATCCTCTGTGGATTGGGTCTACGAAGCCTGTGAGGAAGATGGGCCCCGTGATCAGACAGGAATAACATATCGAGAGAGAAGTTTCCTGAACAGCTTGGGAAGCTCAAGGCAAGGGCAGAAATCCTGGAGCTGGAGCAGGAAAGGATGAGCTGGAGAGAGGGATGGTGTGGATCAGGGAAGGGACAGGAAGCCTGTCGATGCCGAAACTCTCCAGGTTAGGGACGGAGAGGGTATCCTGCTCTGGAGGACAGCAGAGGGGTGAAGGCCAAGGTCTGTTTTCCCCTTCCCCACCCCAGGTCTGACACTGGTGGCAGAGGAGGGGATGCAGTAGTGTTCTCAGGACACTTGGCTGTACCAGGATGGGGCTGAGGCCCAAGCAATGGGGTGGGGGCAATGCAAATGTCTCTGATCATGAGAACCATGTAATCCAGGTGCCCTCTTGGCCCCTCTGGTTAGTGACTCCCATTCCTGGAAGTGGGATGGCTCCCATATTTCAGGGTACCAGGACTTCATCAGCCTCAGACTTTCTTCCTTCATTCCCTCACCTTCAAAACAGAGGTAAAAGGCCAGGCCAGGGTGCTGGTCCCAGAGTGGCTCCAAATATATGGGTTTCTGGGCCGTCTGTCAGAGAGCTGGGACCCCGGTCTATGAGCAGCTCCAGCTCCAGCCTGAAGAGAGGGGAGGGAGGGCGCCAGAAAGGGACCTGGCCCAGGACCTGGCACAGCTCAGATGCAAGGCAAACAGTCTGCCCAGTACCCAGCTGGCACTGGCTTCTTAAACCAAATGGTCCCTCCTTCTACCCCAGAAGGCAGTCCTCCCAAGTGCCCCTATACCCAGAGCTGGTCTTAGCACCCTCTGATCTGGCCCCAACAAGAGACACCCTGGACATCTGGCTCCTGTCACTCCTTCTCCAAGTCTAACCCTGAGGAAATGAAGCCCAGCCATAGTGGGAGGGATGGAGGTGTTGTAGGTGGGGAGGCATTCCAAGGAGGATCTCAGATCCCTGGGAGGATTTGGGAGAAGAGAGAAGTTTCCCAGCAGTTCAGGCTCAGAAAGGGGAACACATGCATGAAGGCAGAGCCTAAGAGAGCAAAGAAGATGGAAGTTGAACCATGGGCCTGGAGTGGGAATGAGCCTCTAGGAAGTCCTGCCTCTAGTCTAACCTGTATCCCTCCTGTTGCACCATTGGCCTATGCCATGGCAGACCTGGGTCTCTGTGCTTTTCTACTAGCCCTTACAGATGTTGTTGGACACTAGCTCTGAAGCCTTCCCTCCCGCAGGCACATTGGCCTGGTACCTGACTTGGCTTTGCTGGGAACAAGGGTCAGCCCTATCCTTCTCTGGGTCCCATTTCTCAGTGTCACCCCCCAACACCCCCATCCCTCCATTATGAAAGTGTAAGTGCTTTGAGATCTTCAGAGGACTATTCTGGGTTCTCAGGGTGTCTGAGAGCCAAGGGCAAGAGGGAGATGACCCCTTCCATTTAGTCTCCCCCTCCCTTAGCCCACCCCCAGCGTAGGGCTGTGGTGGGGGAAGGGAGAGGCTGGATGGAGGCCAGACTGGCAGAGACAGGGGCTTTGTTCCAGCTGGTTTCTGAGCCAGGAGATCCGGTGGGAAAGCCCGTGCCAGGCAGAAAGGAAGGCTGGGAAGAAGAAGTGAGAAGGAAGCCAAAGGGGGGGTGTAGAGGATGCTAAGGGTAAAGAGAAGAGTTTCCTTATAAGTGCTGGTGGGGTAGGGGGAGGTCAAGGAGGGGTATAGCTAGAGAGAAGCTGTGCATCACCCAGGTTCAGTCTAGGAGGCCCTCCTAGAAGAGGCTGTGTGGGTATGGTACTCAGGGAGGAAGGGGCGGAAAGGAAAAGTTGGCAGAGTCCTGGGGCTCTGGGTTCAAGGAAGGAGTCTGGCACTGTGAAGACCAGAGGGAATGAAGTATGATAGCACCCACCACTCATGCTATAAGCATTTATTGAGCTCCTACGGTGTGCCTGGTTCTGTGCATCTGTGCAGCGCTTATAGGATAAAAGGCACTCTAGAACCCGGAGCCTCATCACCACCCAGGTGCTGTCCTACAAGTCAGGAAACAAAGGCCTACAGAGGTTAATGAATTAGCCTTAAGTCACACAGGAAGTTGACTAGAACCCAGGTCTTGGTTCCAAGGAAGAGTCCTCTGGTGGAGAGACAGAATCAAAGACAAGGGAGTTAACGGTGAGGTTGGGACAGTAGGTTTCTTGGGCCACCATATGTGTGAGTCTACATGGATGTGGTCAGGAGCCGGGGGAAGTCCATCCTAAAGTCTAACCCCAGCTTTCCTCCTCAAGTCCCTCCACCAGCCCGAGCATGGCCTCCCTGTTCCTGCCCCTGCTGGCAGCCCTGGCCCTGGCCCGGGGCCCTGTGGCCTTAGCTGATGCCCTGGAAGGGGACAGCTCAGGTAAGGAACCACACTCAGCATCACTGTCTCTGTCTCCTGCATCTCCTCTATGGAAGAGGGTGGCCTTGGAGGACCCAAGGAGAGATAGGACAGAGGGCACTGTGGGGGATGATCTAGTCTAGGATGCTTGGAAATAAGGGATAAACTGCTGGCTCTGGGTAGGGCAGGCAAAATTGGTGGTAGGACTGCCAACCCCTAGGGCATGGGACCAATGAAGGGGGCTGGAAGACAGAACAGGGATAGAGTGGGGAGAAATCCTGAAGGTGAGTCTGAGGGAAACTGAGGGGAAACTTTAAGGCCAGGGCTGGGGCCAGCTTAGATCTGGAGTGGGCCCCAGGGGGTCCTGGGATGGTACCTACCAGGCCACTGTCCACAGGAACAGACTGGAAGATTTGGGTACAGATCTGGAGAGGGAGTGGGATGGGCCTGGGGTCCTAGAGGCAGGCATGTGGGGCCCTGGGGGCAGTGGTGGCTGGGATCCTGGGGCGGGCTTGGAGACCGGGTGGGACCCTGTGGACCAGGTGCCAAGTTCTAGCCACCGGCCTGCCCGCCCACCCACAGAAGACCGGGCCTTCCACGTGCGCATCGCAGGTGACGCACCACTGCAGGGCGTGCTGGGCGGCGCCCTCACCATCCCTTGCCACGTTCACTACCTACGGCCACTGCCGGGCCACCGGGCCGTGCTGGGCTCCCCGCGGGTCAAGTGGACCTTCCTGTCTGGGGGCCGTGAGGCCGAAGTACTGGTGGCTCGGGGGCTGCGCGTCAAGGTGAGCGAGGCCTACCGTTTCCGTGTGGCACTGCCTGCCTACCCGGCATCACTCACCGACGTGTCCCTGGTGCTGAGTGAGCTTCGGCCCAATGACTCTGGCATCTACCGCTGCGAGGTCCAGCATGGCATAGATGACAGCAGCGATGCCGTGGAGGTCAAGGTCAAAGGTGAGGGGCAGGACCCAGGCAGGTTCCCCAGGGTGGGAGGCCACAGTGTGAGGGGGGAGCAAATGCTCTGGAAGGCACCCAGTGAGCTAGAAAAGGAGTGGGTAGAGACAGACCTTTGTTACCTCCTTTCTCTCTTGGGGTGGACAGACTCCTGCGCACAGCCTGGGGCAGGCCCCTCAGCGGTAGAGAGAGCACAATGTGAACTTTACCCTCGTGTACAGGGGAGTGCCAAGGAGGGTGAGAGGAGGTCAGGGTGGGGTGATCATGCCTCAGGGCTCCTCTCTGCCCCTCAGGGGTCGTCTTTCTCTACCGGGAAGGCTCTGCCCGCTATGCTTTCTCTTTCGCTGGGGCCCAGAAGGCCTGTGCCCGCATTGGAGCCCGCATTGCCACCCCGGAGCAGCTCTATGCCGCCTACCTCGGGGGCTATGAACAGTGTGATGCTGGCTGGCTATCTGACCAGACCGTGAGGTGAGCAGGGTTGGGACGGGGGATCCTGTGGACCAGGAGCTTCTAGTTGTGTCTGGAAGTGGCAGTGGGCCCTGGTTCTGCCAGGGGCTCCTGGCTGCCTCAGGCCAACCATCTAGGACCCCCTGCCCCTGGGGGTGTCTCTGCAGAAGAAAACAATTGGCTGCATGGAATGGCAGTGTGCGGTTCAGGAGGGGCATCCCTGGATAGCTCCCTGATGGAGGCATCTGTACTCACTCCCAGGTATCCCATCCAGACACCACGAGAGGCCTGTTACGGAGACATGGATGGTTTCCCTGGGGTCCGGAACTATGGAGTGGTGGACCCAGATGACCTCTATGATGTCTACTGCTATGCTGAAGACCTAAATGGTGATTGGGGGTGAGGGGTTCTCAGCGCCCCTTCTCCGGTGCTGTCCAGAGGTCCTCCTGGGGCCTCTGCTGGACCTCATGTGTTCAAGCAGGCATCCAAGGGGGCATCCAAAGGAACAACCCGTGTCCCACCTTCCAGATACTGTCATGGAAGCAGGTTCATGGCCAAAGCCTCCGACAAGTGGTGGGAGACCGACTTTGAGTTTGACTCTGCTGCCACCTGCTGTGCATCTCTCTACTTCGTAGCATCTCTGGGCTGTACTGTGCTTCTTTGCAGTCTGAGAAAGTTGAGCCAGGCCCCTCTGAGTAATAACATCTATCCTGAGGTTTTACCTGAGCTTTGACCCTGAAATAGGGTAGTTGACTCCATCACAGATGCAGAGACCAAGGCCCAGAGAAGCCAGCCTAGGGTCTCTACGGGAGCCCAGGGTGGATGGGGCTCCCGACTTCCTGGTCACCCGGCCTCCTCTTCCTCTCTACCAGGAGAGCTGTTCCTGGGTGCCCCCCCAGACAAGCTGACGTTGGAGGAGGCACGGGCGTACTGCCGGGAACGGGGTGCAGAGATTGCCACCACGGGCCAGCTCTATGCAGCCTGGGACGGGGGCCTGGACCGCTGCAGCCCGGGCTGGCTGGCCGATGGCAGTGTGCGCTATCCCATTGTCACACCCAGCCAGCGCTGCGGTGGGGGCCTGCCTGGTGTCAAGACACTCTTCCTCTTCCCCAACCAGACCGGCTTTCCCAACAAGCACAGCCGCTTCAACGTGTACTGCTTCCGAGGTGAGCCGGCCTTCCTGCAGAGGCCGAGACCACCCTCCTTTAGTCAGAGACAGACTTGAGCTCTGAAGTTTCCCCCCTCCCCCCAGCTCAGCTTGGCACCTAGGGTTCTTACTCTGGTTCTGCCCTCTGTTTTGTGCTGTGTAGCCTCAGGGAGCACCTGCATCTCTGCATCCCCTCCCCTACCTTCTCTCCAATCCATGACTCACCTCTCCCATGTCACTCCATATTGGGTGATCGAAGAGGTTTCCATTGCTGGTCTGCTCATGAGTAGAGCAGGGATGATAGACATTCTCAGAATGCAATGAATGATCTGCTCCAGTTAACATAATGCCCTCAAGAGCCCTGGGGGGGGGGTGTTCAGAACCTTCAGCTTGAGGGTGTCAGATTTTTAACCACCAAGTATTGATGGACAGACACAATTCCCCCCACAGGGAGCAGGTCCTCAAGGACACTGGGTGTAGAGATGGTTTATCTGACCACATCTTCTATTGGGGGCTTATAGGAATGCAGTGCCTGGGACCCCCAGAGACACAGGGCCCAGACCTAGGGGGACTGACAGGGAGGCAGTGTCAGGGGGTGTCTGGGTCCTCACCTCAATCGTGAGTCTGCAGTACTGGTACAAGGGTTGAGGCAGAAATGAAAGGAGACTACACAGCCTCGACCTTCGGGGAGCTCCTGGTCTGAAGGGGAAAGACACTGCTTTTGCCATGGGAGCCCCCAATCCAAAAAACAATAAGCTTGAAGAGACTGAGAGAAAAGCATTACTTCTTTTGGGGCAGATCTCCAAACATCCTTAGCCCAGGGCGAGGGAGTGGTGGGGAAGTGAACCCCCTAGGAAGGAAGATCCATCTGGAAAAGCCAGTGCAAGAGGGTTGATGATGACGATCATAATTGTAGTGAATATGTCTTATGCGTTGCTTATGATTTTGTGCTGAGCACTGTTCCAGGGAGACATGGAAGGAGGAGCTGAATGGAGGGGGAGGGAGGATGACTGGTTGGGAACAGGGACAGGCAGGCAAGGGCACAAGTTTGCTAGTCTGGCAGGAGCAAGGCTCACCCGAGCAGGTGAGGGGGCAGGATGTTCTGTGCTGTCATGTCTGGCTGAGCACAGACAGCCCTCAGGGCTTTCCTTAGCCCAATTTCACTGTCGCTTCATTGGTTTTCTGATCTTGGTTCTCCTCTTCAAAGACAAGGTAATCCATCCTAAAGCTCCAGTTGTTTGGAGGGAGCAGCTCCTGGAAGGATGGAGCAGCCCCTTCCTTTGCTCTCCGGCCCCAGTGCTGACACCCTCAGCTTGTGGCTGCTGAATGTCCTTCCTGCACTCCACCCTCCAGCCCTCCTGGGTAATGGGCCACCTGTCCATCCTTCTTGTCTCTATCCCCTTACTCAAGGGACTGTCTCTCTCCTGAGCCTTTCCTGACCACTCCATCTAAAGTAGTACTTCCCACCATTCTATCTCCTTACTCTGCCCAATTGTTCTTTATATAGTAACATAATATATGTTTACTGGTTTATTATCTATAGTTAGGCTCTAAACTCCCTTAGGACAGGAGGCTTGCTGTTTTTCCTCCACGGTGTCCTCAGTGCCCAGAAGAATGCTTGGCATGACACATAGTGGGCCTGTGATTAATGCTTGAGGGACACATGATGAACTCCCACAGAGCTCCCTGGGTCCTGTGAGTCCTCCACAGGGAAGATGAGTGAGAATTGAGAGAGTCTCATGGTCTTTGAGTCTAGTCCAGAGACTGTGGGTCTCTCCCATGGCTGTGGCTGGAGGGCAGCGCCACCTGCCTAACCTCCCATTGGCACTTCCCTCCTGACACAGACTCTGCCCAGCCCTCCGCCATGCCTGAGGCCTCTGACCCAGCGTCTGACCCAGCCTCTGATGGGCTGGAGGCCATTGTCACAGTGACAGAGACCCTGGAGGAGCTGCGGCTGGCTCAGGAAGCTGTGGAGAGCGAGTCCCGGGGAGCCATCTACTCCATCCCCATCGTGGAGGACGGAGGTGGTAGAAGCTCCACTCCAGAAGACCCCGCAGAGGCCCCCAAGACCCTCCTCGGTAACTGGAGCCCCTGTCAAGAGGAGTTGGGGGTGAAGGTGTCCAGGGTGATGCTGGGCTTATGGCTGGCATGACTCGTCCTCTCCCTTCTCAGCATCTTGGTGATGCAGGGCATCTCTCCAGGACTTTCCCAACCCTTGCCTTTGCAGCACATTCCACTCCCAACTCTCTGGGTCTTGGAAGGAGGGTGCTCCCTCCTTTGTGTCCTCCTCCCCCTTACCTACCCAAAATAGACTTGAGAATTTTAAGCCTACAAGAGTGAGTGAGATACACGACTGTGTTTTTTTCCTGGGCTAATGACAGCTCACAGAGCTTTCACCAGGTAGCCTCAAAATTGCTGTTCAAGTTGGAGGTCTTCCGGTGGGGAGCAAAGACAGCCTGTCCCAGGGGCAGGCTCCCCGACCTCACCCTCCACAGCCCCTTCCTCCCTCCTCTTCAGTCTCCCGGTTGGGGCTGGTGCTGTCCCTGGTGCTGAACCATCTGTGCTTTGTCTAGAATTCGAAACGCAATCCATTGTGCCTCCCCTGGGGTCCTCCGAAGAGGAAGACAAGGCTTTGGAGGAAGAAGAGAAATATACGGATGAAGAAGAGAAAGAAGAGGAGGAGGTGGAAGATGAGGCCCTATGGGCCTGGTCCAGCGAGCCCAGCAGCCCAGACCCACAGACCCCTCTGCCCACTGAGCCAGCCTTAGAGGAATTACTCTTCCCTGCCTCTCCACCAGCAGCGAGTGCAGTCCTACAGCCTAGGCCATCACCACCTTCCGACGGAGAGCCAGAGGCTCCCAGGCCTCCAAGGGTCCTTGGGCCACCCACTGAGACTCTATCCACTCCCAGGAATGGGCAGCTGGCATCCCCACCACCTTCAGCTACGGCTGGGGAGAGAGAGGTGGGGGAGGAGGCTGGTGGTCCTGAGCTGACTGGGGTCCCTCGAGGAGAGAGTGAGGAGACAGGGAGCTCTGAGGATAGCCCCGCCCTGCTTCCAGCCACACGGGCCCCTGAGAGTGCCAGGGAATCGGAGGCCCCCTCTGAAGAGAATTCTGGAAGAACTGTCCCAGCAGGGACCTCAGTGCAGGTTCAGCCAGTGCTGCCCACTGACAGCGCCAGCCAAGGTGGAGTGGCCGTGGCCCCCTCATCAGGTAACTTTGCCCAAGGCTCGACTTCCCTCTTTCTCCTCCTTCCCTTTCTCCCCCTGAAGCTCTGGGTCACATGATCTCTGGTCGTTTACCCTCATTGCCCCAGCCTCTCCTGTCCTTTGCCTTCATTCTCCTACACACCTTTACCTGGGTGTCCAGTCTTGGATGCTGCACTTGTGACTTCCATCCCAGCTCTCTGATTTCTCACTTCATGACCCCCAACTCCATGGCCCCACCCTTGACTCCAGCCCCACCACTAACCACCTGGGACATTTTCCTGCTCTTGGCTCTCCACCTGTGACTCAGCGGCCCCACAGGCCACCCCCTATCCTCATGCACCTTAGGTGTCCTGGGTTCCTATTGTATTCTCCAAGCCCCAGGCCTCCGCTCTTGCTGCCCCCTCCCCCTCCTGTGTGCCATCCCCCTCAGCCCTCCCACTGATATCAGGGAAGCCTGGGATTCTGTCCCTGCCCCTTAGCCTCTGGGGTCCAGGAGAGCCCTTATCCCCACAGAGCCTTAAGCGACTACTTCTGTGAAGTATTTTTTCGACTGTTTCATGGAAAACAAGCCTTGGAAATAAATCTCTATTAAACCACTTTATAACCAAAACTCTGGCCCCCTCTGTCTCCACCCCCAGCTGCCTGCCCTTTTCATTCCTTGGATTTGTGTCGTGGGCAGCTCTCTGATGCTTCCCTTTGGCCCTGCCTCTCCCTCTCCTCTCTCCCATCTCTCTGAGCCTCTCTGCCTCTTCATCCTCAGCCAGTGCCCTTTCCTGTCCTCCATCTAACAGTGCTCACTGGTCCTCAGCCTCCCCTCTCAGGCTGTCCTCTGTCTTCCTCCTCACTGCCAAGAGCCCAAATCTGACCATCAGAGAAGTCATTGTCCATCAGCCCAGGGACTGCTGGGAGTTGTAGTCCCGCACCCCTGATGGGGAGAAACCTCAGCCAGAGAGAAAGTGCGCATTTGTATTCATTTCTGATCCATCTCAATGGCTCCCATCTAGAGCCATACATACAGACTAGTGACGGAGAAAGTCTATCTGAGCATAGAAGCCCATGCCTGGCATCCAGGTGCCCCAGCCTCCCCCACCACAACTCAGCAGGGGGATGGGATCTAAGTTTCATCCCACTGCCCAAAGCCACCCCCTCCTCCACTGACCCCTGCACTAACAACCATCTCACCCCTAGGAAGAATGGTCTCACCCTCTCTGAACCTAAAGGATCTCAAAGTCCCTAATGCTACAGAAGACACAAAGCGGGCAGCGAGGATGGAGAGGAAATATAGAGGGGGACCAGTGGAGAGTTAGGTTCTGGGGTCTCAGAGAAGCCCTGCCTACTCAGGGAAGGTTGAGCTTCCCCGTGGAGAGCCCTGGAGAAGGCTGGGGTCCTGCCAGCCCCAGGACCACCGTTGCTAGATGGTCCAGGGTGGGGTAGGGGCCCATGAATCACAGCAGGCTTGCCCATTCCAACCACTGGCTCTCTGCCCCACTGGCCTTGGAGTTCAGTGCCCTGTGGGTTGGGAGGGGGTTTGGTGGGAAGAGAAGCATCAAGGGAAGTCTCTGCAGTACCTTAGTTACCCCACCTGGAGGCTGAGGGATGTCCTCTGGTCTGCTACTGCACCAGGAGGGAAGAACTTTCTGGTTGTAGAAGTCATTGGCCTCCAGAGGGGGAAGAAGGAAGAGCAGAAAGTCTCAGGAGGAGTGCTTTCACTTCCAGTCTGTTGTCCTGGCTCAGGTGCTGCCACCCACAGCCCAAGGAGGGACCTAGTGGCCTGGGTGCAGGACCAAGTTTGGAAGTCTCTGCCCCCCAAGGAAGTGTGAGGAATGGAATGGGCTTCCTACCTCTTCCTACCCTCCGTGGGGCCTGGTGCTTAGTGGGTTACATAAAACACCTCCCCTCCCCCTTTGCCCAGGGAGCTAGTGCTACCAGCTTGGAAGAAACTGTTGGCAGGAGGGGAGATGATGGGTGTGTGTGTGTGCTGGAACAGCTGATTCATTTCACCCAAAACAGCTAGGTCATCCCAGCAAAAATCTTGGAATCACCTCCAGCTTCTCCTCCCCCTACCTCTGCTCTCATCCCCACCAGGCAGAGGGAAGCACAGTGGGCCTTGCCTTTGGTTGCCAGGGTATGGCAGGGTGTGAAGAGCCCTGCTCAGGAATGTTTCCCCTCCCAAACTGAGAGCCTGGCCCTGCACTGTCAGTCTGTGGGGCCATCCTCCTCTTCATGGACCAGAAGGAGTGAAAGCTGCCTATCCAGCACCCAGGCCTGGTCTAAGGGCAGCCACCTGGGAGGATGGGATCCTGGGATCCAGAGGGAGCAAGTCCAGAGGAGAAGGCAGGTGACCCAGCCAGAGGACAGATGGCAGGCCTTCAGTGTAGTGTGTTAGTCTAAGAAGACTTTCCGGGGAGAGAGGGCCAGAAAAAGGAAAAGAGATGGATTGGAGGGGATTCTAGGCTGGGGAATGTGCAGAAAGCCCAAAGTGGAGGGGAGTCTGGGGAGGAGAGAGAGTCTGGAAGATAAGGGGAGGCAGGAGGCTGCGTGATGTTGAGAGTGCATGGAGCCAGCAGGGCAGTGGGAGCCTTCAGCTTCATTCCTGGGGGTGGGGGGTTGATGATTAGGGTATGGAGTTAGGCAAATACATTGATTGCTCACTATCAGCTTCTGAGGTTGACTCTATCTGGTAGAGGGCAGGAGGAATAGCTAGCCCCCTCCCCCCCCATCAGGTCCCAGAGCAGTAAAGGTCAGGCCACACCTGTGTTGCTGTGGTGATGGTCCTCTTCTCAGGTAGCACTCAGGCCACCTAAACTGTACAGAACTGTGCAGAAACCTGGTACAAACACAAGGGGGTGGGGACTGACCTCCAGGCTCAGAGAGGTAAAGTGACCTGCCCAGTGTCACTCAGCAGAGCCAGGAACCAGATAAGTCCAGGTCTCATGATTGACAGCTCAGTATCTTTCCCTTTCATGGGGTTGGGTCCTGAGGGCCTTCCTGGCCACTTTCCCCAGCCCATTCCATACCGTCCACACTGGTGGGCAGGGCAATGGCCAGTACAGAGTTGAGTCAATGCTGAAGTGAGAGGTTATGGGGGTGGTGGTCCGTGTGGGAGAAAACCCCAGAACTTAGGGCTGGGCTGACTTTCAAGGTACTGTGATAGCTCCCAAGACAAGGAGATTGGGGCTGTGGGCTCTCTGAACCCTCTCTGGGGGGCTCAGGATGCAGAGCTGTGCTCCCCTGCTCCCCCCACCTCACTTCTCTCCCCCCTCAGGTGACTGTGTCCCCAGCCCCTGCCACAATGGTGGGACATGCTTGGAGGAGGAGGAGGGGGTCCGCTGCCTGTGTTTGCCTGGCTATGGGGGGGACCTGTGTGATGTTGGTGAGTGTGTTGAGGAGCAGGGCTGGGGTGGGGGTAGACCTGAAGCCTGGACCCTGCCACCATGTACTACCTCTGGAGCGAGGAGGGAGGGCACTGGTTTGGGCCTTGTCATTAACAAATCTCCATTTTAGTCAAATCATGTAACCTCTCTGAGCCCTACCCTGGATTTCCTCATCTGTTAAGTGGAACCACACAAGCCTTTCTCAAGTGGTCCCCGTGCAAGGAGTGCACAGCATACCCCTTGTGTCTGGCAGGCAGTCCATACCTGCTAGTTCTCTCCTAGCAAGAGAGGAGGGCACAGCCCTTCCCTAGGATGGAGGATTGTGGAGACCCGGGCGAGGACTCTAGCCCTCACCCTCGCTGGTCCCTGGTACTCAGAGGAGGAAGCCATTAAGGATTCCTCCCACCAGGGCTCCAGGCGCTCCTCCTCGCCCCCCCATCCTCTGCTGGCTCTCTGGCATCTGCTGGGGCAGCAGGAGGAGCCCAGTCCCTTCTGAGGGACCTGGCCCCTCCGGCCCCAGTGACCCACCCCTCTGTGCCCCAGGCCTCCACTTCTGCAGCCCTGGCTGGGACGCCTTCCAGGGGGCTTGCTACAAGCACTTCTCTACCCGGAGGAGCTGGGAGGAGGCAGAGACCCAGTGCCGGATGTACGGCTCGCACCTGGCCAGCATCAGCACGCCGGAGGAACAGGACTTCATCAACAGTGGGCTGGGGATGGGGCTGGAGGGGACCTCATCACCTGCTCTCTCCCACTCACTCATTAACCAGTCATTAATCACGAGTGAGTGTGTGAATTAATTAACTCCCTAATTCATTAATCCGGGAGCTCATTACTTGGTTTGCTTCATTCATTCATTCATTCATTCATTCATTCCCATCTCCGTCTCCCTCCTTCCGTTGCACGCCACGCGAGGGGCGTGGGGCTCCGGCAGCATCGGCCGGGGGCTGTGGCAGGAACGACACCTGCACCAGCCAGACGCCACCCGCGGCCCCTCCCCGCCTCGCAGCCTCTGCCACCGCCATCTACTTCCCCGACTCTGTCCTCGGTTTCCCTTTCCCGGCCCCGCTGGCATATCTCTCCTCCCCACCTCTTCCTTCCGTCCGCGGGCAGAGGTCGGGCAGAGGTCGGACCGACGGATAGCGAAGCAGGGAAGCGCGGGTCGGGTCTGGCGGGACCGACCCCCTCCCCCCGCCGTAGGCCGCCGGCAGCGGGGAGCGGCGCCACCTGCTGGCAGCAGGGCTCACTGCACACACCCGCGTCCGCCGGCGCTTCCTCCCCAGGTCGGTACCGCGAGTACCAGTGGATCGGGCTTAACGACCGGACAATCGAAGGCGACTTCTTGTGGTCAGATGGCGTCCCCCTGGTGAGAGGCTCCGGCTGCCCCTCGAGCTGGCCAGGTCGCTTCTCCCAAGCACTTCTGCCCTCCGCCCCCAGTGACCCATCACTTGCCCTCTTTTTCTGGCGGGTTCTCTGTCCCTCTTCTCCTGGGCAGGCCTCCCTTTCTTGCGTTCCTCTCTCTTCTCATTATCCCTCCCCATAAAGCCTGTGCCTGTCCTTGGGCCCCTACTCCTCATCATCCCCCTTGCTGGCTGTCTCCTAGCACTCCTCCCACCCTCCTTCTTAGGCCCTCCAGGTCCATCCTTCCCCCTCACTACACCCTCCACCCGACCCCCCAGCTCTATGAGAACTGGAACCCTGGGCAGCCTGACAGCTACTTCTTGTCTGGAGAGAACTGCGTGGTCATGGTGTGGCACGATCAGGGACAGTGGAGTGATGTACCCTGCAACTACCACCTGTCCTACACCTGCAAGATGGGGCTGGGTGAGGCCAGGCAAGGGGGAGGAGGGGAGCGCCAGGGGACCCAAGCCACATGTGTGTAAAAGGAGGGGGAAAAGCTACGGAGGAGTCAGAAATGTGTCCCAGGCCACTGGCAAGGAGGAAATAACAAATGAGGTGCACCCACTAGGAACCTCTGCTCTTTTTTGCATCACATTGTGGCCCTCCCCCTCCTCCTCTTCCTGATTCTGGGAACTGTCACCCACAGAGCCAGGCTCCCAGTTCTTTTTTTTTTTTTAAGATTTTATTTATTTATTCATGAGACACACACACACACAGAAAGAGAGAGAGAGAGAGAGAGAGAGAGAGAGAGAGAGAGAGAGAGGCAGAGACACAGGTAGAGGGAGAAGCAGGCTCCATGCAGGGATCCCGACTCAGGACTCGATCCCGGGTCTCCAGGATCAGGCCCTGGGCTGAAGGTGGTGCTAAACCGCTGAACCACCCGGGCTGCCCTAGGCTCCCAGTTCTTGACTGTGTCTCCCCTGCAGTGTCCTGTGGGCCTCCACCAGAGCTGCCCCTGGCTCGAGTGTTTGGTCGCCCACGGCTGCGTTATGAAGTAGACACGGTGCTTCGCTACCGGTGCCGGGAGGGGCTGATGCAGCGCAACCTGCCACTAATCCGCTGCCAGGAGAATGGTCACTGGGAGCCACCCCAGATCTCCTGTGTGCCCCGCAGGCCTGTGAGTGCCAGGAAGATGCAGGTGGGGAGCTATCCAACAGTAGCCCTGGGCTCTAGCCCAGCTCTGCCAGCCCCTGGCTGTGTGACCTTGCAGTAATCGCTGCCCCCCTCTGGAGCAACAGGAAGGAGGTGGTGGTGAGCTGGATACTCTGGGGTCCCTTTCAGCGCTGATGTCCAAGAGCATTGGCCACACCCTGGACTCTTACGTGCTGAGCCAGGGCTAGTGTTTGGATGAGATCAGGGGTCAGGAGGAGTAACACCAGAGGACAGGCTCTGAGAAGAGACACAGGGAGGAGCCCAGGACAGAGGGTGAATATGTACATCTTTCCCAGGCTCGGGCTCTGCACCCAATGAAGGCCTCAGGAGAACAACAGGGGAGGCTACTGGGACGCTGGCAGGCACCATGGATGCCTCCTTCCAGGCCCTCTCTTGGTCCTCAAGGAGCAAGGCCTTGAACAACTGCTGCCCCCAGCACTGCCCTCTCTCCCACCCTCTTCCCATCACAGGAAGTGACCACGTGAGGGGTGGAGCTGGAGTCCAGGTGGCTGTGCCTGGGGGGGTCTGCAGGCAGTGCCTGGGCAGCTCCACCCTAGACTAGACCCTCTGGCCCCTACCCTGGGCATCAGAACCCCTTCGGCAGTGGGGGGGAGCTCAAGGGAGTCCCAAAGTGCCTCAACTTCCCCTCTCCTTGCCAGCCAGCCTGTCCCCTCCTGTCCACTCCATCCCTCTGGGAACACCTGGCCCCCTTACACTCAGATTTCCCAGGAAATGGGTCTGCAGGATGGAGAACCAGTAAAACCAGCCTGAAATAAAGCTGCATTTGAGCAACTGCAATCAAGCAAGTTTGATGCTTCTGTGGGAGAGGAAGAGAGGAGAACGGGCTTGGGCTGGGCCGCCTGGGATAAACAGATCCTATGCAGTGATGAGCTTCTGCAGGTCAGAGAAGTCCCCAAGATGTCAGCAGAGAGAATGATGTCGGCACCTCATAGCTGCCCAGGACGGATTTATGGGGTGGAGGAGCTCACTGGGACAGGGGGCCAGTGTCAGGGTGTCTGGAAAGGGCTGGAGTGCCAGGGTGCCCAGTTGAGCAGACCTGGACAGTCTGGGGACAGAGGGCCCACAGAGCAAGGCTGGGAGGCCGGTGCCTTGGTGGTTCCGTTCTGAAGTTCCCAGGGAGGTGTTTCTCGAGGCTGAGGGTTAGGGTGAAGGGAATGCAGGTCTGGGGGCCAGACTGCCGCAAAGGAAGCAGGGACGCGGAGCGCAGCCAGACAAGGGCCCTGAAGTCTCCCCCGGCCTTGCTGGCGGGCTGGACTCCGGGAAGGACCTCGGCGGGTCTCCGGACTGTGACCGGCAGAGGGCGCTGCGGACGCGGGGACGGCGGCCCGAGAGTGCGCTGTGCGCGTGCGCTAGTGGGGCCGGGCCGAGGAGCCGCGGGGCCCCGGAAGGCCGCCAGGGGGCGCCGCGACCTCTGGCTCCGAGCCGCCGGGGCGGGGAAGGGGGAGGGGGCCGCGGGGCGGAGGGCGACTTCCGGCCAGGCTGCGCTGGCCCTGGGGCCGTGAGTCAGCGGAGGTTGGGACGGTGAGGTCACTCTCAGAACTGGGGAGAGGATGGCGCGCCGGGAGTGCGCGTGTACCGCCTCGCAGGGCGCGGGGTTGTGCCTTCGTGGTGGGGCCCTGCCCACTCGCAGTCACGCTCGCGCGCGCACCGCCGCTGGCCGCTGCCCATAACCAGTGTCCCCGACGTGGGCGATTCTGAGTCCTCTTCCTGCGAGTCCGCAGAACCTGATACACTCAGAGACAGGGGACAGACCAGCGGAGCAGGAGGGCTGGGAGCCGGGGAGGGCAGGCCCGGCAGGTGCCTGTGGGAGCCGCGGGGGGCCTCACCCCATCCCACCCGCAGCACCGCGCTGCTCCGCTCCTCGGCCTCTCCACCCTGGATGGAGACCCCAAACTCACTGTCTCCAGGACTCCAGCGTGACCTCCCAGCCCCCCTACCACCACGCTCCTCTCCTCCCCAGGCTCACCTGCCCTACCTCTTGCCCTCCCCACACAGCCCAGCCTCCCATGGCTAGGGACGGGGCTGTTTCTTCAGGAGCCACAGGAAGGAAAACCGTCCTGGGGCCAGAGTACGCCCTGGACCTCCCCCCCCTTTGTTCTGTACTACCCTTTGGATTGCCTAGTCAGTGCATTGTTAGGGATGGCAGGCGCTTGGCTGGAATTGTGCATCAAGACCAAGGTGGGCTTTTGAAAGTAGGGCCTGAAGAGAAGGCTGAGGAGGGGCTGTGTCTGTCCCTGGGCTCCTAAGAGAGGTTCTCTGAGAAACAGGTCCTCACAGAGATGGAGCTGACACAGCAGGTTGGATCCTCTAGAGGCTCCTGGGGTGAGCTGGAAGGGGATTGGGTTGCCCAGCCCTGTCCCCAACACTTCCTCACTGACTCTTCCCCACGGCTGGAGGCAGGGTTCCACTGCTTGAGCCTAGATGAGGACAGTGCCAGAGGTTGACCGGGCCTGGAACTGGAATCCTTTCCCCCTCCCCAACACCTGCTGGCCACTGGAGCAAGGCTGCCGGAAACGGAAGCCTTCTCCTGGCTTTGTGGGGCTTCCTGGAGAAGCGGGAGCTGGTCCAGGGATGACTCAGCACCGTGAACAAAATCCAGCACTGACCTGCATATGTGTGTGTGCATGTGTGTGTGTGTGCACATCAACACATGTGCAATGACTGGAGGGGGGATCCACAGCTCCTGGAGTGCCCGCCCTGTCTCTCTGCGAAGAGCCTGCAGCAGGGTGTCTGCTTGTGCTTCCAGGGCACAGCATGGACCATGTGCCCAGCCCTGCCCAGCCCTGCCCAGCAATGGATGCTGGTTATACTCCAAGCCTCTTTCCCACATGTCTAACGTGGGGTCCTCTCCAGGGGTTTCCTGTCCTTTTGGGGTGAGGTCAGAATGTAGGGATATAAGTTGAGAAGGGAGGCCAGACTCCTGAGGCAGAGGAGCAGAGGGGCCTGAGGGCCCCATGAGTGAAATGGGCCCTCCAGGTGCCCACTGACTACCATGGTCCCCAGCAATCCCCCAGCCTGCTCTGACCCACACCCCACCTCACCATTCTTCGCCCATCTCCAACTCCCACACAGGGCCCTGACCTCACTGGGGCCTTTGTCCCAGCCCCAGGGAACTGTCTCCTGTGCAAGGAGAGAAAGGGCCCCATTGTCCTGGCCTCCCAAAGACTTCCAAAAATGCTCAGCCTGTCAGCAGCACCCCCCCCCCCCGCCCCCTGCCGGCCCGGGGGGTGGGAGGGCTCACCCTGGAGGCTGTGTCTGATCCTCTGATCGCTGCCCCTAGTGAGGACTCAGGTGCCCCCTCTCCCAGCTGGACTGCATTCCTGCCTTCCCCCAAGTACCCAGGTCCTTCCTGGGGTCTCACTTCCACTCTGCTGGCTACAAAGCAGCCTGCTTCCTCCTGGGAAGGATGAAAAGAAAGATTCAGGGGCAGAGCAAGAGGAAGAGCTGGGAAAGGGGGAGGAAAGACAAGAAAGGAGGAGAAGGAGGAAGAATGTGAGGACGCTTGCCCACCAAAGGACTCTGGGCTCTAATTAATCGTCTGAGTGGGAGGATCTGCGGCCTCTGTGTTTATTCCCTGCTGGTTTTCCCTGAGTCTTTGGCTGGCTTGTTAGCAGAGGAAGGCCTGTTGACTGCTTGGGGCTGGGGCATTGGAGGGGAACAGCCCACAGCCCACTGACCTGTGTTCTGTGTACCCCAAGAGGCGTCTAGGGACTCTTAGTAGCATGGGTAGGGGACGTCACTCTGTGCATCAAATTTCCTATCAGGGTGAGCTGAAGTTCTCCATGACATGTGAGGTGGATAGAAAAGGAAGGAGCCCAGGAGAGATCATGGGATTTGGGAGTTGGGAGAAGAGCAGGTAGCAGACAGTGGAGGGGAGAAAACAGGGAGACAGGGAGGGTGGGTGGGCTTGGGAGTGGGGGGCCCCAGAGGGGCCAGAGCCTATACGGCACCTCCCTAGCCCTGAGGCCCCCAGCCACCCTTCCCAGGACTGTGAGGCCCTGGCTTGTCAGCAGCTGAGCGCACAGCTGCCAAGAGGTTGTTTCTCAATGGTGGGCCCCTGGCATCTGCCTCAGATTATTTCTGGAGCCACAGCTGAGTCATGGGGGTGGTCAGGGTGGAGAAGACAGGAGGGGGCCAGAGGGTCCCCGGGGCCTGGGCCTCTGGGGTCTGGGCTCAGTCCCTGATGTCAGGATGCAGAGGGGCCGTCCAGCCTGGGGTCCTTCAAATAATGGCGCCTGGGGAAGGTGCAGGGGAGCAGAAGACCGACCCACTGCTCCTGGAATGTTGGAGAAATGACAAATGTGCTCTGGGTGTGGGGGTGCTGGGTGGAAGAGGGCATCGGGAAAAGGCCCCCTGCATGGGCAGACAAGGAAAAGTGGATGTGAGGGAGGAAGCAGAGCTCCATGTTTCCCTCTGCTTCCACAGCAGACTTGGGGGCCCTTGCCCTAGGCCATTCTGTGCCTCTTTCACTCATTCCCTTCCCAGTGCTGTCACTTGAGACTCTCTCTCTAAGGCTCCTTTCTTCACCCGTGAGAGCTGCGTGCACAAGAAGTGTCTCTGCCCAGCTCCCAGGGAGCCCTGTCCTGCTGGAGAACCCATCCTGGTCAGAGCCTTGAAGCAGGATGCAGGGGGCCCAGGAGGACACAGCAGCCTGTCCCCCAACCCAGAGTCCTCTTGGGTTTCCTGGGCTCCTGTGGGCTTGGTCTCTGTCCCTCCCCTCACTGTGGGCCGCCCAGAGGGCACATTCCAGCTGAAATTAAACCACATTCCTCCTTCTCTGCCTGCCAAGGATGGCATTGCAGACAGCAGCTGGGGCGCCACAGGGTCAAGTGGCAGCAGCTGGTCCCCAAGGAGGGGCCGAGAGGGGGGCACTGCGGGGAGCTGAGGGGCCTGGACCTTTGGAAGCAGTGGATGAACTTCAGTGTTCTTTATTTATTTTTTTTTTTTTAAGATTTTATTTATTCATGGGAGACAGAGAGAGGCAGAGACATAGGCAGAAGGAGAAGTAGACTCTCTGCAGGGAGCCCGATGTGGGCCTCGATCCCTGGCCTGGGATCACGCCCTGAGCCAAAGGCAGATGCTCAACCACTGAGCCACCCAGGCGTCCCCAGTGTTTGCTCTTAAGAGGCTGGGAGAGGGGCAGCCTGCGGCAGCGGGAGATATGAGGTTAGACCACAGGGAGTCACGGCCACAGGGAGTCACGGCCATGGGGAGCCACGGCCGAGGGCCCTGGGCATGCACACAGGCTGGAAGGCCACGGCTCCTTTAAGAGGCCCCACTCTGAGCTCCCTTGGCCCGAGCCCAAAGCCCAGGCTTTTGATTCCCTCTGAGACCCAGCAGCTGGGTGATGGGTGGTGGGTGGCCGGTGCTGGAGGGACAGGGATGCTGGGCTGGCTGGCTGGAGAGCTCAGCCCCTGACCTCACCCTCTGGCGCCTCAGCCTGCATAGCCTTATAAGGAAGTGCCCCAAACAAACCGAGGAAGCCATCTGGGGGGGGGGCACCCTGCCCCCACCCTGTTCAGAGGCTATATTTACCCACGAAGGCCCCGGAATAACCTCCCACTTGTCCTCCTTGGGAGGTGGTGCTGGAGGGGTGGGTGCTGCCCCCTTGTTCCCTTCTCGGGACTCCACCCTCTGAAGGGCTTCCTGTTGTCTGACCTCATCACACTTCCTTCCTTCCTTCATTCGTTCCTTCCTTCATTCATTCCATACCTGTTTGCTGAGCACCCTGCCACCCCCCCAGGCCCTGTGCGCCAACAACGTCTAAGCCTTCCTGC